GGTTCTAGCATTTTCTAGCCGTGTGATTTGGGGGAAGTGACCCTATCGCATGGAGCCTCAGCTTTCCATCTGTAACATATTTACCTCCTTCACAAAGCACCCCATCCTCAGCCTGATGTTCACAGCTGCACAGAATATCTTCTAGACATACCTCCCTCCCAGATCTCTCTTCTCTCTGTCCTTCTCTGAGCCATGGGTATTGCAAAGTTCCTGTACCCTAAGCATGCTGTTCCATTAGTTAATAATTAAAAGCATTAACACATGGAAAACACTTAGAGCAGAGTCAGTACTACAAAGAAGAATCAAAGGATGTTAGAAAAACATTAGTAAGAACAGCAACAATAGCAAACAAAAGATCCATCTTCACTAATGTCCACAGTTCCTTATATTCATGTCTTATTCTTCTCATTAGATTTTTGCTTCTTGAGACAGGGCATATCTCAGTAACCTTGCTCGGGCTTAGACCATACTGAACATCCAATGAACACTGAATGAATGTTTCATTTCCCCCTCCCATCTCATCACACAGTGGCCCATGTGACTGGCAAATTTTCATCTTGAAAAGAATTCCTCCAGCATTTTTTCTGATCTACTGGGCTGTGGACACAGAACAGACAGCCTTGGGCAGATTTCAACATAGGCTTTATGGAAATGAGTCCCAGATTTTGCCTGCTCAAGGCTTCTCGTGGAAGGAGGAGAAACTTCTTTGTGACTCTGGGGGTCTGACTACCTGTCACATTCCAGACCTCCTTGGGGGAATTTAAATCAATTTAAATGTCCTTTTTTTTCTACAAAAGGGGGGCAGATAGATCACCAAACAAAAATGTAAGTCATACTAAAGATGGCCCCTTCCTCGTCCTTCTTCCATGCATCTCCTGTTGAGCAAAACATAAAGAGATATATCCAGGTCTCCACATTCTAAGATACATCCATGGAGAAAAAGGAAAATAAAGATCAAGAAAATGAAATCTACAGTGTTTAATCTGAAATATGTTTAGCCTGACTGTTAAAGAGTGGTGAAGACCAAGAAAAAAAAAATTCCAGGTGTGTAACAACTACAGAAGAAGTGTTTCTCAGGGGCTAAATTTAATGCCTTAATGCCACTTGCTGTGCTGGGGTTTTATTCCCCACTCAGAGAATAGGTGCTAGCCCCCATGGTGGAAGGCCTGCTAGTCCAGCAGAGGATGTTAGCTACGTCAGCCTCTAGGGTAACATAGGACTGGGTACACCAGGAACTGGCAAAGGCCTTGTCACATCAACCTCAGTGGGTCTCACAAGAAGTTACAAGGCAGTGGCATGGACAGAGTAGTAAAGAAATACTTGGAGTAGGACAACACAGAGTCTGGTTATCACAGGAAAGTATTACTGCAGCCACTTTATCAATTAGACCTAAGTGAGTACCGAGTAAGTCTCCTAGGTCTGAGCTGTATTTGGAAACCTTTCATGATTCACACCCAAATCATACAAGATGAAAGAAAATCTTGGATAAAATCAAGCCAAACACTAAGTGTGGGGAAAAGATTTTATTGGACAAATTAGAAAAATATTGGTATTGCGCTTCAGAAAAACCCACTTCTTTCGTCTGGCTGAAGGGGCAGGAACAACCTCAGTGGTAGATGGAGAGGGAGGGTGAGTTATTTTAAATGAGTTTGCTCCACCCTCCCCATGCTAGCCACAACCTCATGCTGACACCCACTGTGCTAATCTGGCAGCCTTGGCCAGAACCAAGGGCGACATCCATTTATAAGGATACCATCACATGGCTAGGCTTGGGAAGAGGTGAATGGAGCTTGAATGAGGATCCCTGCCTGAGCTAGCCAGGGAAGCTGCTAGCCGCTGTCTGCTCCTAGCTGTGCTTCAGTCTGGCTAGGGCAAATTCACGCCCAACATAGACACCAGATCACTAGAGGAAGTTAAGAAATTGCTTACATCCTCCAGAAAGTCCCCAAGTAAGTAAGAAAGAAAACAGTGTGTTGGAAGGACTCCTTCATTCATTTATCTTCTGTGTTCCTACTATGTAGTGAGTGGACTGGTGGTGAGGAAGAAGGGAAAATGCAGAAACAACTGAACAGAACAGAAATGAACAACCAACCTATTAATGACAGAGCCAGTAAGTAGCATATATACAGGCTACTCTTAACTATGGTTCTTCAGTTTCTGTGGCTTCTGGTATTATTCTTACTGCTACTTATAAAACAAACAAATAAAAAAACCTTTGGTTTTCTCACATGGCAGGGCTTACATGGAGCCTCACAGCACAGGGGTATATACCTGTCTTCTGGCCCAGACTGGGCAAAGATTGTTATATGAAACAAACAAACAAAGAAAAACCAAACCCGTGTGTGTGTGTGTGTGTGTGGTGTGTGTGTGTGTGTGTGTGGTGTGTGTGCACATGATCCCTTGCCAATGCTTAGCCTGACAACCTAAACCAAATGAATAATCAAAATATGTTCTTTAAATGCTCCTAGGCATCTGTCACCACCATGTCCTCCCAACCTTATAATGACAGAGCACAGATCACAGAACCACAATGGCCTGGAGCCTCCTTTGCTGCACCAGATTTTTGGCTGATATTAACCCATTTACTCAGATGACCAAGCTATGACACTATGGTTACTGCAGGATTATCAAGGGAAAATGATACTTAGAGAGTTCTGTGTGACTTGCCCAAAGTCACAGAGCTGGCATGAAGCAGACCTATGAGATTAGGACAATCTGTGTGATGGTAAAGTTGAGTTCCTTCCACTTGGCTACTGTCTTTTGCTTAGAAGGACAATGCTAAACTCAAGGCACAGTCGACTACACTTACTGATCTCATTTGGATCAGTTAATTCATATAATCCCCAATGATGACATCCCCTAACTTATCTCCTAAATACCTAACAGTTTAGGAGTCAAAGACAGATGAATGGGACAGGTGGCCACTGGTCTGCCCATTCCGTATGTCCTTGTCATAAATCAATTGCCTTCTCACAAGTGAGATGTGTGGTGTTTTCTTGGGCAACTTGACCCTGTCTATCACTTCTGATGAAACCACTCAGGCCAGTGTTTGAGCAATGATAAGAACAGAAATTACTTGGATTTGTAAGCATTCTTATTATCAGGAGACAAACTGTCGGCTGGGTTGATCTTCTTTCCCAGGAGCCTTTTAGCTACTTCTTAGTGTTCACAACCCTGGAAAGTGCATTAGATGGACTATTTGCAAAATGCCATTTACTGCATGACTAGGAGATGTAAAAGATTAGAAAGACATTTTGAGTAGACTGTGGAGAGCAGCTGACCATTTCTATTGCTGCAGAGAGAGGAAAGCCACCATGGTGACTTCTACATCTGGTTCCATTTCCTTCACCCTTTAAAAGCCGATACACAGGACATTAGTTCATTTGCTGGCAGAAAGTTTGGTTTTGATCATTTCATTGATTCCATTCCATTCCAGTTTGGAGTACATAAGCACTGGTAACCCATACTGAGTCACAACAAGCATGTAACTCGTACTATGCTCAGCAAACAACCCACTGGGCAGCCTGGAAGTGGCTATTGCATTAAGCTTTTTATATTCAAGTATGTGTTTAGACTTAAATATCCTTAAAAAGTCCATGGCTTTTTCAATAATATATTTCAATAATTCTGAGTTATGTTTGGAATTAGCTTACTAGTTAATTCAGTCCTTTTCTGATAAAAAAAAAAAGATTGTTGCAATCAATTATTACCATAAGTCCCATCTGAAAGTGTGCATATGGGATCCACATGATGTGGTCATGACTCCATTAATACCAGGGCGATTAGAGCAAAGTTGGATGATGATGGAGTTCTCACATGAACTGTTTCTAAACAATGATGCAAGTGAGAAGCAAACTAGTCCTCACGATGCATTGCCAACAAACATTTGCCTAGCAGGCTCTGCTGCTATTCCCTAATTCTAATGAAAGGGATGAAGATGTGTGGGTTGGACAGTAAATGTGCATTTATATGCATGCATGTGTGTGCTTATGTGTGTGTGTCTGAGGATTGCCAGAGAAAATGACCTGCTGGAGAGAATGACCTTCGCTTTTTCAGTTTAGAAGGCTGTGTTCGTTATATTATTACTCTTACCAATTTTATATCTTCTTTAAAATTAGCTAAATACACACAAGCCCAGAGGGCCATCTTTTGCAACACATGACATAACTAGCTCAGGGAAGGCAAGCAGGTAGCATGCTTGCTGCTAGTGCTATTCCAGAGTCCAGAGGAGATACTGCCAGTGGATGGGGGCCTCTTATGAAGAGCCTGACTTTCCCCTCTGAGTCCTCACTGTCCTGACACAGTGCTCTGAACAGCCTCTACCCAGGGATCATCCTTGATGAGATCATTAGCTGTCCTAGATTTTGCCTAACTCTACATCAGAGAAAGTTTAAAAAGATGCTGAGAAAAATATGTTTATGCACTGGGACTTGGACAGGAGGTGGGAAAAATCTCAACTCTTTTGATTCAACAAAAAAGGTGTTGAATAGCTTCTATGAACAGGGTACTGGGCTTCAATAATGTAATTTGGGGGCCAATCTCATTGTAATGAATTTTCAGGGATTTTGTGTCTGAAATTCCAGGGTTTGTGGTATCAAGAGTAACCTACAATAAGGGTGTACAGGGCGGAATGTGGGAGTGCATTTGTTGTATAGAAGTATCCATTATAATGAATTTGAGCTGTCTGTAGTTAAGCAAAAACTAGCCATATATTGATATTGATAGATATTTATTGAAATAAATGCATTTAGATATATATGGCTTTACATAAGAAAACATGATAACATGATAAAAACATACTTAGCCTACATTATTGATTATATTATGGGTCAAATATGAGTTGTAAACTATTAAAACAATAGTATTGTTTTAATACTATACAATACTTTGAATTGAGCAGTTTTAAAGTGAAAACTGCTGTAAGGTGTTGTTATTGCTGAGCTGAAGAAAATCCTTTAAAATCATAAAAGGAGAAATGCAAGAATGAACAGTTCTCTTACCAGCGGCCTGAGTTCTGGATGCGTCAGGATATATCCATTATTTGTGATTGCAAAGGCATAACCGTGAATCCCTAACTATAAGAGGAAGCAAGAAAGAAACCTTCATTAGCTTGCTCCCTGGAGAATTCACAAAGCATAAAGCAGCCCGACATTTAGTAATTTACAGCTTAAAGTTGGCATTCATAACCCTTATCAGCACGGTATTTCATTAAAATGAATGCAAGGCACTGATCCTTGACATTTGGTAGAAATGAAGACCTGTCATAGATAAGCTCAGCAAATAGCACAATTTAAAATGTCACATCCCCGCGTTGGCACCCAAGGGCTTTATTTTGATTTATTTAAAACAAAAACAATTATTTTCTTTAGCAACTAAGTAGCTCATGCTTCTGGACAGGCTCTACATCCAAGTGAACAGAATTTTTTCAATTAGGACATCTCCTCTCTACCTGGAGTGAGGAAGAGGGGTCCTCACACTGCTTCATTTCCAGTATTACTATAATCTCAAACCCACAGGAGCGATCTTAAACATGCTCACTCCTGTCCTGTCATTTTCCATAATTCTTCAAGGATAAAAGTGTCCCCACTAGTCTGTATAGGAGCCTGCCAAGCCCTTCATATCCACTCATCTTTAAATTGTGTGGCTGCCAAGCTTTTCCATGCATGCTTCTACCGACACAAACCCTGGGTAATTTTCTATGCAGAGCCTCACTTAATTTATGTTTTCTGACTACATGGGACTATGGGAAATAGTTTGCGAGCAATGAAATGTTTTATTAGCTTTAAAAAGTATGTAATCAAATTTAACACTGCACTTATTTAAATAATAATCCCAGCTTTTTGACAATATTTCTATTACACAGTTGAGTGCACCCATTGGCTACAATAAATTTACCTACAAATCATTCATGTATTTGGCCCCTGGCATAAAACTCATACTGATCTCTCTTTCTAAAGGAAGAAAATGTGACCCATTTTTGCTAGAGCAATGAAAAGGGAGAGGAAAAAAAATTCTCTATTTTTTTTCTGAGGAATTATTTCACAGTTGTGAGCCCTCACTTATTTTTCTTTAAATTCTCTGCCACTCACATTCATATAAATATGACTATTAAGTGATCCAGACAACAGAGTTTACAAACCAGAAGTGACCCTGTCTTGCTTGTTAGCTTAACGTCAAGGTGACGTGAAATTAACCTCAGAGAATTTAACACCAGCAATTAAAAGTTTCCGTTGCATTACATAAAGCAAATATGGACGTGGTAGTCAAGGACTACAGACATTTCCCCTGCAGTTACCTTGCACAGCAAGTCTTAATAAGATTCTACTTGACTGTAATGATAAAAGTGTATTTCATTATGCCATGAAAGATAAACCAGAGATTTCCTACCCTTTGAGATGTATATCGTCTCTTTCATCTTGTCTTTTGGAAAAAGTCAACACTGCATTAATTACCATTATTAAGTCCCAGTTTAATATGGGCTGGAGGGGTCAAAAAGAATTCTGAGAGTTTGACGTTTTCCATTAAAGGCAAAAGAGGGATTTGACTAAAATTCAAACTCAACATCAGACCAAACACATTATATTTTATAGTTAGCTAATGTAGTCTGTTTCTTCAAATGGACATGACTTTGGTTCTTCTTGTTTGACTTGTGGGTCTCAAAAGAAGGTAGGGTTCCTCTTAAAGCCCCATGCTTTTCTGTATAGCATTTGTCAAAATGATAATAATCAATTGCAAGGTTGATTATTACTAATTAAGGCATCAGTCAAGGTTGATTATTTAATGCCTGCCTCCACCCATCAGGGCAAAGGTCATATCACATGATTAAAAATGAATGGCGAGATAATCAGGATGCAGGGAGGTAGAGGAGTGATAGGAGGAAGAAAAAAGAAAGAAATCCAAGGAAACAAGAAAATAATTGAATTTAACACAGATTCTAGAAACCTTAGCCCACCTCTCTGCTCCCTCTCCTGGAATGCAGGAGAGCTGACCTTTCAACCTCCTCCAGACACTGTCCACCTGCTCTCCCTGCTTCCTTACTGTCTTCATGCCCCAACCCACTGGACTCAGCCTGTGCCCTCTTGCTACCCCCACGCTCCAAAATGCCACACAACTACATTCGCCACAGTGCCAGTGGCCTCCTAATTGCCTAACCCTACCAGATCCTCTCTCTTGAGTCTTCCTAGTTTTATGAGTTAGCTGACTGCTCACTCCTTAACCCTGTTCCCTCAGCTTCCAGCCCCACCCTCCTGGGCTTCCTCCTCTTCATCCTTCACCATTCTGCAAGAATTTATTGTCCCTCAGATCTTGTTCCATTGGTCCATGTCCTCCTTAACTGTCTTCTCTCCCTGGAAAAATCTCAACAACCAGTGTCTAAGTGCTGTCATCTTTAGAGCTCTGCTGCCTAGTTTCTCCTTCAATGGCAGTCTACGCATCCAGCAAGGTGTTGATCCTCTCCCCCTGACCATGCCTCATGCTTACCCACAGAATGAAGGCACTCTCCCTTCCTGGTGCTCTTCCTCCCTGCCTCTCAGTAAGTGGTATGTTCCTCTCCTCACGGCACCTAAATTTCTCCTTAGCCTTTTTCTTTCATCTCTGGCCACTCAGTCCAAGAAATCACTAAATCATTCTCCCAAATATTTCTTAGATTCAACCCCGCCTCCCTACCCTACCACTACCATATTAATTCATTAGATTTTGACAGTGGTCCTAACTACTATTCTGGCCTCAAGGACTGATAAAGTAAAAGGTAACTGACCATGTGGTGTAGGGTCCCTGTTGTGTAAGACCAACAAAAGGTCCCTTTGTGTGTGAGACAGACTCCATGGGCCTGTCAGGTCTCCCTGCCTCTGGCCCCTGCCTAAGTACCCCCACCCTCTTCTCTCTACCTATTGCTTCTCAGGGTACATGGCAGCAAGTACCCTGCGGTTACTTCTCCCACACAGATCCTTCTTACAGTGCCAGCTGTCTGCAGCCTTCCGCAGGCAAATTCTCACTCAGGCTATAAGCCCAGCCTCAGAATCAGCTCTTGTAAAATGTTTCTCCTGAACCTATTCTTGGCTCTCTCCTTTCCATTTCCATAAATCCTTTACCCTAAGGTCTAAAAATGCTGCACCTACTTTCTTGCCCTCAGTCCTACCTAGCTCTCCTTTCTTCATCTGTCTTGTTCTTGAAACCACTCAAGGCCACACTTCTATGCGAGAGAGGCCTCTGTGGACAGGAGCCACCTCACTCATCTTTGATTTTGGTAGCCCCTTGTACAATGTCAGGCACATGGCAGGTACTCAGCTAAAATTCGCATTATTTAAGATGTTTATCACTTTACTCAAATATTATCTAAGTCATCTTAAAAATATGAACCAAAGTACATATTAAAAATGAACCAAAAAGAAAAAGTCCTCTGCCACACACAGTCAGCTCTTCTCAGCCTTGTACTTTAGAATCTTCCTAACATTCAGAAACCTTCAGGTTAAAATCCTTTCCTGAACATTCTGAGAAAATATTTAGAACGTTGTGCTATTGGTTGGTGGCACTTAGATATCACTTGATAGAGGTGTAAAAAGAGAGACTGCAAACCTCTAAACATATCCCATGGACGAATGTCTCTCAGAATCAAAACTTCATAAAATGACAATGGCAAACATTTGGTTTTGGCCACAAATCAATATGCTGATGAAATCCCTAACTCTTGTTTCATCCGAAATCAAGCCAGTCTTCCTCTCCATTCACATGTGCAGTCCCACAGAGTAATAGAGAACAGATTGGACACAAGACCTTCCAGCACGTGGGGCTGCCAAATGGGCCCTAGACCTGCAGCTTACTCCCCTGGAGGCTGGGAGCCACACAGGCCCCCAGCCTGGGGAGAAGAGCACTTCCCTTCCAAGTGGAGAGCCTTCGGGCTAACAAAGTAAGCCCAATTATACAATGGTTCGTTATGGTAACAGAGGCCATGGTGTCTGGAAATTATTGCTGGGGTGTCTGGAATTCTTAATAAAAATTACAGGAAGTCTGATTGCTTGTGGGAAAATCTGTGAAGCTAAGGGAGAAAGAAAGAATAATGTCTTCTGGGAAAGCCCCAAGAGCCAAGAGCTGACTCATCATTTCAAGGTGTTAATGAGGAGGGCAAGGTATGACTGAGAGTCTGTTCCCTGGAGTACTCTTCTCCTTTTGGCCATGGCTGTCCCTGGTGGACATGTATACCTTTCCCCAGGCTCTTTATGAAAATCAAAGGAGGGGCAGATGTGTTAGGTCAACATACACCATACCTGTGTCTCCAGTTCCAGCCTAGCCTTCAGGAAAGTGGAAAACACAAGAGTCAGTACTTCTAGCTCTGATGGTTGATTTCCCATAGCTGATCTTTCTCTATTCTCTCTTTATGCTTTGTTTCATTCGTCTCTTATTAGGTGAGTGGTGTTGAGAACATTCTTTCAAGCATCCTCAACTAAAAATGGGGCCAAATGGTACCCACTTCATGAGAATATAAGGTTTCTTTGAGAATAATGCATATTCAGTACTTTAGACTCCACCGACTGCACAGTAAAAAGTCCAGTAAATGTTTTACTGTATTTTAATTCATACTGTGACTTTATTTTAACATTTTAACTGTTGTTTTAACTTTCACTGTTGTTACTGTGGTACTATGGCTAGAAAGACTAAAATAACGGCTCTCTACTTACAAGCTACAAAGCATGACAAGACGTTTAAGCTTTCTGTGCCTCACTTTCTTTATCTGTAAAATGGGGGTGAAATCATGCCTACCTATTCTTAAGACACAATGTTATAAAGAGCTTAGCACATTGCCTGGTAGAGGAAACTCTGAGTAACTGGCCCACGGGATAATTGTTCTGATTCCATTTTATATCCTTTCTTCCTGGATTTAGTGGACATATATCAAGTAGTAGCCTGGTGCTTGGGTTTCTAATCTCCTCATGTGAAAAAAGCTTTAAGAATTATTTGGAAATATTCTCCACAGTTGGATCTCCTTCCTTAAACACTAGTATAGCAGTGCTGGACACCTAGGTTTGAGGGTTTTGGCAAACATGAAGTTTACTCTTTTTAGAGGCTACAAAGCCTCCCTCTGCCCCTTATTTTCTGAGGACCTACCATTTACAACAATTATGCGAATTATAGAAGATCCGCTGTGCCTCTGGAAACTTAACTACAATTGCAGGGGTCTTGTTGGACAACACTGCCTGTCATCATTTGACAGAGGGAGAGCTAAGAATCTGAGGTATTTGTACACACCAGCTCACCAACAATGGAGCTAAGAACTCCAGAGCTGAGCTCTAATCACTGCCTTTTTCTACATGAAGCCCATGAAGGCTGACGTACCCCTGAATCAGACTTCAGCAAATCAGGTAAGACAACTAAGGAAGGTGCCCCTGGCACCCAACAGTCCCAGATTCCTAGCCTCCAAATGGAGGCAGAGTGAGCCCTTGTCAATTGATGAGTAGAAGGAATGATGTGATCTCAACCCCTGTGCAGCTGGTGGAGTTCTTTGCCTAGTGGATCATCAGGAACTAGTGTGGTGGCTATGCTCTGACCCCTCTCATACTTCCCTACACAGAAGGGCCTGGAGCAGTTCTGTGTGTCCATGTTTGGTTTTGAGGGAGTCACCCCCTTCCATTTGTTGATTTGCTTCCTTTCCCACCAGAGAACAAGAGGGAGTTTCCTGCATGGGATCCAAGAATTGTCAGGGCCATCTTTTGAAAAGGCACACCAGTCATGTCAATACCCTGCATTTGTCACAAAAATACAATCATCACATCAAAACTCACCATTTCACACAGATTCTTAAACTAAGGTAAGAGGAGGTAATAAAGCAAAATAGAGTCAATCTAAATAATCAATAACTGTCAAACAACTGTGCAAGTGGTATAAAGACAGACAATAGGCTGTGGTGAGGGTAGGTGTAACTACTCTAAAGTCAGGTAGAATTCGGAGCCTGACTTCTGGAAAAATGTTGCTCCTGGTTTCTCTACTACTCTGAATGCATTGTACATTACCTTATATTTTGGGATGGTCTTCAGAAGTTCTTTTACTGGAACATCTGTGCCAACCACACCCAGAAGAATGCCCTTTGATCTCTGTTGAAAACAAACATTGAAAAATAATAAGAAGTTAATATGACAAAAGAAACTGGACCTCATGACAAAAGAAACTGGACCTCACGAGTAGGAACTCACCATAGATGACTGCCCAATGCCTTCCCCAGACCAACGGACTGAGGATTTACCCAGATCTCCAAGAAGGATCCCTTCTATTCTCTGTCCTCTACCTAAGCTATTACTAACCAAGAAGGGTAGTGTCTCAGACAACACAACACATTCAAACCAATTCACTCTAATGTCCTCCCTCTTCTCCTTCCTAAAAATAAAAAAAAAAAAATGATGCTAAAGAGCTCAACAGATTCAGCAGCTAAGGACTCTAATCATGACCAATTTCTCTTGGGAAAGTTTTCTTTTTTTTTATAGGAAAGACAGCATGGTGTCTGCTTTCTCCGTTTACACTGCCATCTGGTGCCCATGAGAGAGAGACAAGATAATCACAGAGATGATATAACACTAGTGTTTTTAGCAGCAAGTTGGAATCAAGGGACAAGGTAAAAGAATAGGCCTCTGGATCTCAGAGTTTCTAAGGCAAGTGGCTATTGTAATTTGCTGAAACTTTCATCTCAGAAAGGTCATAAGATATAATGTGCAAATTGATGCTGTTGGTTGTTTCTGCTGCTGCTGCTGCTGAGCTTTGAATAGTGTCCAAGCAAATTCATGTAAAGCTATGTAGGAACAGAGTTTTTGTAGATTAAATAACTATGGATATTGAGATGAAATTGTCCTGGATTTAGAGTAGCACTTAAATCCAATAACTGATCTACTCGTAAGAAGAGAGGACACAGAAACACCTCAGAAAAGAAGGCCATGTAAAAACAGAGGCAGAGACTGGAGTGATACTACCATAAGCCAAGGGATGCCTGAGGTCCAAGAAATTGGAAAAGGCAAGGAATGACCCTTTCCTAAAACCTTTGAAGGAAGCATGACCTTGTCAACATCTTGATTCAAGACTTCCACCTCTACAACTGTGAATATATAAATTTCTACTTTTTAAGGCAACCCTCGCTTGTGGTTCTTTGTTACTACAACCCTAGAAAATTAATATAAGGTGGAAAACTATAAATCAAAGAGAGGTAAGTCTACCATAATCAATGATTCTCCTTGGGTTTCTCTTCAATTAACAGTTAAATTTAGGAAAGGAGCTGAAGATGCTAAGACTCTAAAATAATGCTACTGGAATTCTTCTCATTTTTGATTTGATGGTTCTCATAGTAGGATGAAACACTAAGAAAAATTATATACAGTCCATCCTTAGGGGGAAAAATGTCACCAGAACAAGACTGAGAAGAGGTCTGAGAAACAAGCCTTATAGCAACAAGCAGAAAGCACAGCACCCATACTCACGGTTTCGTTCTGCTTACTAAACACAGGCATGGCCACTGTGGTCATCAGGACAAGGCCCTGATCATCAGCAAGCTGGATGGATAGAGAAAAGCTGGTTACCAAAACTGCTGTGGACATCTCAGGGCAGAGGCCTCCCCTGACCACCACATCCTCTCTGACCAGAGACTGTTGAAGAAGGGCTACCACCCCTTGAGCCATTAGCAGGGAGGAGTTGTGTCTTTTCACCACATTTGCAGATGACAGTCCCAGCCCCCAGCTGGGGAAACACCACCATCAGTCACTCCACCTGATGGGTTCGCTTTCAGCTATTTTTCCTCAAATAAAGCCTTGTGGAGCTTAGTGATTTGGTTTATTACCACAGATTGATTTTACTGTTTTATTTCCCAGACATTTATGTTCAATTTGTACACTATTAGTGCTTCCCCTCAATCTAAAAATGAATGATCGGAAAGCACAAGCATTAGGGGGTCTTGTGAAATGCCCCTGCTGGAAACCACAGAATCCAGAAGGACTTATTTTCCCCAACACAGGCAAGTCAAGGTCCTTTTACCTCTACAGATTCTTGAATGCTAGTCCCAGATGGAAAAAAAACAAACGACAAAATATTACCTTACCATATGACCTAAAAATCGTAAACGTGAAGCCAATCATTTCTATTGAAAAAACGACCCTTGAATTATGGCATATGATACACAACTGTAACACTTTGGATTATGCAGTGCACACTCCGAGACAGTGCTTTTCACACTGTGTTGAGAGGGAGATGGGCAAGAATATCTGTTTTGTTTCAATTACAAATGGGGAAACAGAGTCCTAGCACACAGTAATAGGCTTTGGTTCAAACAAATCTAGTTCTAATTCTCAGCTTTGAATCTTCTATAACTGCACCAGCTAAGCCTTCATGTCCTCACATGAAGTAATGCCAACTGTTCCCCAACATTGCTATGAAGATAAAATATGCCAGGTACCATGCAATGGTACGTGCTCAAAGGATGCTGGTGCCCTTTCCCTGCCTTCCAGGTCACACAGCTAGTGAAGCAGCTGAGTTCAAAGAGAGACCAAAGCTTTTCACATCATGAAAAGCAAAATGAACAGGAATCTCATATGGCATCTTGGATCTCATTGTGGCATCAGGAACTCATTGTGGCATCTTGGTTAGGTTATGGTACCCACTTATTCGATTAACAACTAGTCTAGATAGTTGCTGGGAAGGTACTTTTTAGAAAATAACTTAGATTTAAATCAGTATACTTCCTGTAAAGCGCATTTTTCTGTATAATGTGGGTCTCATCCAGTCAGTTGAAAGTTAAGTGAAAAAGAAAGGTGGGTCCCACACAGAAGAAGGAATTCTGACTCCAGTTTGCCTTCAAACTCAAGACTACAACATCAGCTATTGCTGGAATTTCCAATTTCCCAACCTGCCTTACAGATTCAGACTTATCAGACTCTACAATCATGTAAGCCAACTCTTTAATACAATTATCTCTCTCACTCACTTGCTATATACATACATATTAATATGCATGTAGGCTCTCTCTGTATATTTATGTGGATATATGTATACACACATATATGTGCTTTCTATATTAACCAATAATATTAATTATGAGACAATTTTGACAGTTATTTTTGCCAAGAACCAAGTCAACCAGTATATACAGTATATGACAGTGTATAGAAACACAGACCTAACATCTTGCTAAAAATACTTAAAGTATACTATGGCTGCATTGGAGGCACACGATGCCATTTTCAAAGGCAGAACCAATCCACAGTAAACAGTTCTCTTAGAATTAGAACCCTTCCCATGTTCTGACTCCTTGATTAATCCCTAATGCTACACAGAAAACTGATTTGAGCTGATCCATAACCCTGGATGTCTTCCACTTTGCAACCCAAATCAAAATTTCAAGCAATGCCAACATGTATCATGGATGAAATCAAAACATTCCATTGACAGTAATGAGAAATGAAGCTTTTTTTCCTGCAACCAGTAAAAAATCAGTTATAAATCACTAGTAATTGTCCTGGCACACATACAAGATCATGGGAAATGAACTTCCAAATATTAAGCCAGAATATAGTATCAACATCACACAGGGGCTAATTCCAAATGTAATTACTGCATCATTACTTTAAAAAATCCCTATACTATTGCATTTGTACTGAAACCACTCATTTGTAACCAGCTCCAGGTAAATAAAGGAAATGCAGTGAGTCCAGTCTGGCCAGCAATCACGTGTGGGACTATGATTTCATGTACTCCTCTCCTAAGGGCAGTTCTGGCCCAAATTTGGACTTGGACCTAACCTATAGGTTTGCCATGCACACTAGCTGATGATATGGCCACAAGGGCTGGTGGGAGCCCAGAAATAGCACTTACACAACACGAGTGCCTTCATCTGCACCCACCCGTCCCATCATTCCCAGTCAATCCAGGTCTGGACTCTGTGACTCTTAAACATTCCATGGTGAAGGAAAGCGATGTGAAAGTTCATTTTGTACTATAAGCACTTTATGACCAAAAGGCATTCTGTACTCCTGCTATAGGAAATAGCAGCCAGAGGCAAGAGTTCTTTTTGAGACCACCAAGTAGAAGTTATATAACCGACCATGGCCCAAAACCCTCTGTCTTCCAAACTCACTATGGGGCCCCTGCTTTTTCTGTGGCCCCCAACCTATAGCTGCTGCTGAGGTAAGAGAGCTGCTTAGGATTCATATATGTGCCTTCTAAGAAAAATGCAGATGTAGAGTCAAAATTCATTTTTCAAGGGGTAGGAACAGGAGATGGAGGTCACCATGGTCCATCTGGGCAAAATCCCATTAACTGAAGTCCAAGTGGGAATCAATCTTAAAATGAACTTCTGCTCAGTTATACTTTCCCAGGCTTTGAACAGGCCTCTGAAATGCTTGGTTGTGGTATTCTGTTGTGGAATAAGTGTATATTATTCCATATCCTTCATTTCCTATGCTACATAATGGGGACCGTTCTGGTATCAAAGGAAATGATGAATAATAATACTGAACATCTGGTTTATAAAACACAAACTTGCTCAACAGATTGACTGTTTCCTGTCAGCTTCCCAACTTAATCATGCAGGTGGGCTCATATGAATATGTATTCGGACTCTTGTGCGAGGTCTGTGCAGTCATGCCAGGCCTCTACTGTTAATGCTTGATGAATTTCCCATCGATGGCACCAGTTTGGAATGTGGCCGGCCCCAGCTAGCATAACACCACCAGATTTGTGTTCTCTCCATTTTGCTGATGGCCTTGTCATTATTATTCATTGACTTCCTTACTGTACTTCCTTAAGCCTCAGCTGTGTGCCAAGTTCCATGACATGAGCTGTGAAGACAACTAATAAGACCTGGGTCTTATCCCCAAGAAACCCCAAGCCCACTTGGGGAGACAGAAAAGCTACAAAGCACAGGGAGAACAGCTAGTAGGGTCTGGCACACTGACTCTCATTTAGTGAGTAGAGAGGCCATCTTCAGGTGTAGCCTGAACTAAAGAAAAAATTTCTGACATTTATTGATACCTGTCATGATCATATGAAAGCTTCCTGAAAGTAGGTTTAAAAAAGGGATAAATTCTCTATTTCATTCCATTTGCTGTATAGTAAGGGTGTTTATAAATGAATCACTGCAAAGGAAGACATTTTTAAAATTACTCAGTAACTTTCCTTTTTCTACAGATATCACCCTCTTTAGAGAAATCCCCTTCACCCACTCCAACCACAAGTTTTCTGTGGTAGGTAACTTCTCCTATCATGCATGTATGGCTAAATCTTCAACCCAGCTGTACCATGCAGAGCACTTCATGCATGCACACACATGTACACCATTCAGGACACACTGATTGGCTGATTAATTAGGTACATGATTCAAGCTAGGCTCCTTGATTTTTTTTTTCTTTCTTTTTCCTATCTGCAGCTAATGGAAAAAATTCTGTACTCTCTTTTGTGGATACCTATAAGAATGTAAGCCTGATACCTGTGTCCCCTTACCATAGAGACAATTAAAATGAAAAAATAAAGTCAACCTCCAGAGAAGAGGGAAGAAGTGTGTGTGTGTGTGTGTGTGTTGAGTGTGTGTGTGAGTGCATATGTATGTGTGTGTGTGTGTGTGATAGAGAAGAGGAGAGAAATAGAGAGAGTAAGGAAGAGCTAGACAGAGGAGGGAGGAGGGGCAGAACAGAGGGAGGGTACTAGTCTCTGGATGCTTTCATCCCTAGGGTGAACTCCACCCATGCTTTTCATTATTTAGTTGCTTAAGCCAATAGTCTTATATTTTTGCCAAATGAGCATGAACTGGATTTTGCGACTCATAGCAGAAGAGTCCTGAATCACACAGGTGCCAATTTGGTCCATAAATGACCGAGGTAACTCTAGATACCCATTGAGGTTGAACCAAATTCCATGTATAACCCAAAGGGAGAGGAATTTCTCAGGCCAGAAATGTCAAAGGGAAAATGGTCTCAATAGTCTCAAGATTTATGGCTATACAGTTTCCCCTCAGGGGAAGAAATTCAGATACCCCCAAAGAAGCCCAATACCAAATGGTAACAGGCAGCATTTTGGGAAATGACCACTTTTTATGATGGTGTTAAAAAAAAAACTGTTGTCATTAGAATTTTATGAAAAATATTCATAATGAATAAAGGTTTGACAGCTTTGAAGAAAGAGCCTGGATGAGAAGTTGCAACATCAGAAGCCTCATTGGTACCATACCCAGGCAGATGTGAAAATCTGCAGGGAGGCCTAGAGGCAGGTTGTAGGCATGAACCAGTACTCTACAGGCCCTTGGATTGGGAACAGTGCTGCCTACAATGCTGCCTAAGCAACCTCCATTTTGAAGGACTCTGCTTTACTTGCCTTCTTCATCTCTCCATTCAGAGGAAGCTTGCCAGGACTAGTGGCAGGACGTTCTGTTTCTCCTGCAGCTGGAAGCCCCTGGGGGTGATGTCAAGTCTCAGAGATGAAGCAAGCTGGGCCTGGCCCAGAGAAGGCATTTGAGCAAGCTAAGGGCAGCACGCTTGGCAACCCTTTTGAGGACTGCCAGGTGGTTTTC